AGGTTGTGACATCTCTTGGTTTTGTTGAAAATACTATTGATCAATGCATTTATTTTAAAATCAGTGGGAGAAATTTTATTTTCCTTGTATTGTATGTTGATGATATTCTGCTTGCTAGCAGTAACTTAGGACTGCTTCATGAGACAAAGAAAATGTTGTCTGCTAATTTTGAGATGAAAGATCTTGGAGACGCTTCCTATGTTCTTGGCATTGAAATACATCGTGATAGAAATCGTGGCTTATTGGGACTTTCTCAGAAAGCTTATATACGACGTGTTCTAGAAAGATTTAATATGCAGAATTGTGCACATGGTGATGTACCTATCATAAAAGGAGATAAGTTTAACAAAACTCAATGTCCAAGGAATGAGTTGGAAAGAGAGTCTATGAAGATGATCCCATATGCTAGTGCTGTGGGGAGCTTGAAGTATGCTCAAGTTTGCACTAGACCGGATATAGCCTACGCAGTAAGTGTCCTTAGCAGATTTCAGTCTAATCCAGGACAAGAGCATTGGAAAGCAGCTAAGAAAGTTATGAGATATTTGAAGAAAACTGAAGGTTATATGCTTACATTCTAGCATACAAATCATCTTGAGGTGGTAGGATATTCAGATTCTGATTTTGCTGGATGTCAAGATGATTTGAAATCAACCTCAGGTTACATTTTTACATTAGCTAGTGGTGTCATTTCTTGGAAAAGTGCTAAACAGACTCTAGTGGCATCTTCTACTATGCAAGCTGAATTTGTGGCATGTTATGGGGCAACAGTCCAAGCCGTTTGGTTAAAAAATTTCATCTCTGGCTTGAAAGTTGTTGATTCCATCTCAAGACCGATCACCATCTACTGTGATAACAATGCAACAGTATTCTTTTCAAAGAATAATAAAAGTTCTGGTGGATCAAAACATATTGACATCAAATATTTGGTCGTTAGAGACAGAGTCAAAGAAGGGCAGACGAAAATAGAGCATATCAATACAGAGGCGATGGTTGCAGATCCCTTCACTAAGGGACTTGCTCTAAAAGTCTTTAAGACACGTGTTACTAATATGGGTATTGTGGAAACATTTGATATTTTTGGTTAGTGGGAGTTATTTATGTAAAGAACTACGTTTTGGGCTTGATCCCTTTACGGGGTACGTAGGCAACCCATATGTTTTCGGGTACAGCCCCTTTCTGATAATAAAATAATTTTTCCCCTATTCATGAACTATTTTAAGCATGCATTTGACTTATATCTTTTTATATTATTAATATCTTGAAATATGACGTATAAAGATATAAGATGAGTCTCTTTTAGAGACATGTGGCTTCATTTTTATTTGAAGCATTATGATGACCGATATGAGTTAGCACAGTTTTTGATCACATTTGGTGCTAAATTCATACCACATACTACCACATTGGTTGGAGAATGGAGATCCATGTCGATAAGGATGTTGACATTTGTAGTTGTGGAATGGTCTTACATCTCTTAAATTGGTGTAATGACTTCTATGTTCGGTGTTAATATTCTTGTTGGACTGGATCATGTTACGTAAGGTGTCATCATTGGAGCTATACTTTTGTAGCCACCTATGTAGTCTAACCCGGGTGTTAAAACTTTGTTATGACAATCAAATGTTTGCCCAAGTGGGAGAATGTTGGAATAATTAATTATTTCATATGTGGGCTTCACATTGGATTGCAAATTTTACGGGTTAGATGTATGGCTCATAATGATATTTGTGTTTGGGCCAAATTTATTAAGTGATCAATTGGACCTTTTACACCTTACGGGTTGTAATTAATTTTATGTGGTAGTTTAAAGTATGTGAGCCAGAAATAAACCCAAATTAGAATTCTAGTCGTAATGGGACGGCTCAAATTATTTCCTATATATAAAGGTTAGGTCCCCTCTCCTCTCCATATGTTTTCATTAGCTTGCCCCATTGATAGCTAATACTTTTGTGATGAGCAAGGAAAGGAAGATCTTGACTGCTATTACAACTACTATTCATATCAACAATGGCTTCCGCATGTATGAATTTGGTTTATTAATTTATTATTTGGTGATTATTGATTCTTAGCATGATTACAGATTAAAATTTAACATATTGTTGTCAGGATTAAAATCTCTTATTGGAATGAATTAGTTTCTATAAATATGTGTACTCTGATAAAGTTATAGCTGTTGGTTTTAGATTCAAGAATGTCTAGGAATGGAACACATTTATTTATTTAAATTTAGTCTTCAACTTGCTCTCAGTTGCAGGCTGGATTCTATTTTTTGTGATAATTTGCATAAATGGGAGGCAATGCGTGTAACTAAGAAACATAAATTGTTAGAAAGGGGCCATCTTTAGTTATTTAAATTTTGCCTTCAACACTGATTTTATTTGTTCGTGTTCTTTGCCAAAGAGCAAAGCCGATGCATTTGAGTATGCTGACCAAGTTCTTGAACGCTGGTATCCAACCGTAGAAGAAGGCTCCAACAAGGGAATAGTTGTACTTGTTACCAGTCAAAAGGAAGGAGCAGTTACAGGTGGCCCTGATTTTGTCAAGGCTGTTGGCGATACCATTCTTGATGCCACTGTATCAGAGAATCTTCCAGGTATTAAGTCCTTTTCAATTATATCCAAATTGTGATGAGTGTGTTATATGTTGTTTAGAGGAATAGATAGTTGAGTATGTAGGTTCACAGTTCACACTTCTCAGGGACATGTTTATGCTTGACGTCTCTTTGAAATTCTGCGAATCCGTTTGGTTGCTGAATGAAACTGGCAATATTAAGAGGATATCGTGGAAGGACAACAAAATGTGGCCTTGGAAATTCTTCAACTACTATAGAAGTGTTCAGAGAGTTTTCTCCTCTTTTAGTAGATAAATGATGATATTCAACCAATTTAGGGAGGTTACACTTAACACTGGATATTGTTGTCAACCATGCATAGATAATTAATTTTTAGCGCACTTCTATATACTCCTAGTGGATGAAATTCGCCTAGGTTGATTTTCATTCTTTACATAATTGATTACGCTGTGGGAGACTTGAAATCTGAAAATATGTGATGCCTCTGATGGGCTATTGCTGGCAATTACTGTACTTGCTGCTACCAGTCATACAAATCAATCTTTATATGGATTATATTGGCTCACATATTTAAGTAAGTGTTTGAAATACTATAAATCATTAACAATGATATCTTAAGAGTCTATCCTCAATGAAATTATTGAGTTATCTTTTGTAGTCCTAGCCACGGAAGAGAAGTACAACGAAGCACTATTTAGTGCTGCCAAAAGGCTTGTGGCTGCCATTGATGGGCTTCCTGATCCTGGTGGCCCCCAGTTTAAGGACAACAAAAGAGAATCTAACTTCAAAACCAGGGAAGAGACAGAGGAGAAACGAGGGCAATTCACACTTGTGGTTGGAGGTTTGTTAGTGATTGCTTTTGTTGTTCCTATGGCACAATACTATGCTTATGTCTCAAAGAAATGAAATTATTACATCTTTTTCTTATCTGGATTTTTTATATCTCTTAGAGTTGAGTGAATGTATAAAATGTTATCCAAATCTTCATGTGGAATGCTTAATGTTTATAACCTTGAATCAGTAAAATAAAACATCAACTTGAACTTCTTTCTTTTTTCCTTCTCATTTTCGTTTCATGCAAGGTCCATTTGGCTTTCGTTCCTATAAGTAACGTTAGATTCTTCAATTAATGATGTTGACATCAAAAGTCATAAGCCAGGAAGTTCAGTCAAATATGAATTGTATAACATGATATAATGAAAGTATCATGAACCAAGATCTCTTATAAAACCCATTTATGTAATTCTGTGAAACCGATAGATTTTAATTGTAGCCTTGAAACTTCAATGCACATATATGAGGAATGGATTTACGCTACAAGAAGCAACAAAGTT